GGGTTACCTCATGGGTCTGCCCTGAAAGACACTTTGAATTGACAGATCAAAACAACTCTGTTGCTCTTCTTAGGATTTAGATGGTAACTCATTTGTGTGTATATGTTAGCTTGCTTTAACCTGTAAAAAAACAGATAGTTTATTACAGGATTGGCCACAGATGTAGTCTTTGGTGTAAGAGCTAGGGTACCAATTGATCTAGGGTACCAATTGATTTAGGTTAAGTGACTAGTCTGTTGGGACTGTAAGCAATGTGCATATGGTGTGATTTTGGTGTAAATGTTACCACTAAGTCCAGTTTGTCTGGGAGGCAAGACAGCCGCGAGAGTCTAAGGGGACTGCCTGTGACTCCACGGTAAGACTGTTATAATGATCACGGACAGCGGACTCCAGAGAAATTACTAATGAACCCAGGAAGCTGAGTAGCAAATACCGCCTCCACGGCCGCCCCGGAACATGCATGGGGCATATGAAAAGCTTCTTCGGACGAGAGAGAGACGCTTTTCCCCGTGGCAGCTTAGGGTCTGGGGAGAGGAGGCGTGGGTGCGGGTGGCCCAGGGCTCCTCCAGGCAGGTTTGGGGGAGGCTCAGGGCTTTGGGGGAGGCTCAGGGCTTTGGCTGGCCGGGGCTCCTCCGGGGGGGGGGGGGGGGGGGGGGGGGGGGGGGGGGGGGGGGGGGGGGGAGGGGGCAGAGCCGGGGACTAGCCTGCCTGAAGGGGGGCTCCACCCACCATCCATGATAATAATCCAGAAGTTCACATTTGTTACTGGCTTGGTGAAATCTAATTATAGAACACCACCAGTTTGGGGTATCTGCCCTGTTTTTGACAGTCTGCCCTGAGGTAGGCACTCACATAGAATCATAGAAGATTAGCGTTGGAAGAGACCTCAGGAGGTCATCTAGACCAACCCCAACAAAATCATCCCAGCCAGGGCTTTGTCAAGCCGGGCCTTAAAAACCTCTAAGGATGGAGATATCACCACCTCCCTGAGGAACCCATTCCAGTGTTTCACCACCCTCCTAGTGAAATAGTTTTTCCTAATATCCAACCTAGACCTCCCCCACTGCAACTTGAGACCATTGCTCCTTGTTCTGTCATCTGCCACCACTGAGAAGAACCTAGCTCCATCCTCTTTGGAACCCCCCTTCAGGTAGTTGAAGGCTGCTATCAAATCCCCCCTCACTCTTCTCGTAAGCCACTCCAGACAGTGTGACAAGCATAAAAGTTTAAATCCAGGTCTAACTTGGAGCACTTTGCTGGTGTAGCTATGCTGGTATATTATATTGGCAAAGCGCTGCTACATGAAAACAGCTTATACCAGCAAAACTGTGCTTATGGCAGTATAGCTTATTCCAGCCCACTCCCTGAAGAGGCAACAGTGCAGTTTCACTGGTATAACTGTGTCTACAATATGGGCTTTTAAAAGTGCAGCTCTGTTAGGCCAAGATCACAAATCTACACATCCTGACCAACACAGCTAAGCCAGCAAAAGTTTGTAGTGCAGACCTGGTCTAAAAGATACATTTGCTGCCTGTAAAAGGGGGCTACTCCTGTATAGGGAACCCACTACTTAGTGTGATATATGTCCTCCTGTAGTGGTTGGTCTCAAAAGGTAACAGCTGTCTCCACTCTCCTTTGACCAGCTAATGTAATTATACCTTATGCTTAGTGGTCCCCAAACTTTTGAGGGTCGTGCCCCTCCTTATCCCGGTCCATGCCCCCTGCCCCCTCCCCAGGGCCAGAAGCAAGGCAGGCTGCAGGGGAATGCGGACAGCGGCATGGGGGCCAAAGCTAGGAGTGGCTCTGGGGACGGGAGCAGGGCTAGGGCCAGAGTCATGGCCAGGGGCTGAGGCTGGGGGCTGGGACAGGACCAAGAGTGAAGCTGCAGTGCCAAGATAGGGGCCGAGGCCAGGTGTGGAGCTGAGAGCTGGGGGCAGGGTGGGGCTGGGTGCGCCCCACAGTTTGGAGACCTCTGCTTTAACTTAAGTGCTCTGAACTGCAGTGCAGTGGTTTAGCATTCAAACCCTTTAGTCTGTGTACAATTGAGGCTGGGGAATTCTACACATAGTAGAATTCTTCTGAAAAAAAAAAAACCCCCAAGCAATTAAATACAAAAACAATATTAAAATAAAGTTATTTTAGGTTGCAAAGTTAAGAAATGCCAGATTTAAGATTGCTGTCCTCTTGTGTATATGTATTATGATACAATATTTAATTATGCATGCTCTGTTTCATATACTGTGGAAAAATATTATTTCATCACATAATTAAAGACTGTATCATAATGCATATGCACAAATATGGGCAACATTAATTCTGGCATCTCCAAACTTTTGAGTCTTGATTTTGCAGCTGAGTAAAATCCTATTAGCATAATATTTTGTGTGCAATGGCACAGAAAACACATTCGCCTTGTTGGCAGATGATCTCCTATCAGATCTGTCAGCAGCCTTTGGTACCATTAGCCATGGAATGTTTGGAATGTTGTTGACTTGATCTGACCATGATGGATGGAATCCCATTTGAATGACTCCATCTTTCCTCTAGGAAAATCCCAGAGGGTAGTTTTCTTGACTGTTCACCTACCTCAATGGCCCTCCTGTGTGGGATATTGCAAGGTTCTATTGTCACTCCTCTCATTCAAAGTGCACAGGGGGCTGATATGTGAAGTTGCAGCACCATCAGCATGGTGGCACCTGTCAGCTCTAGGTCTCATTTTCACCCAATCTAATCAGTGTGATCTTCCTCACTTAGTGCCTGAGCCTGACCGAGATAGGGATCTGGATGAAACAGTGACTGAAGTTCCATCCAGGTATAGCACATTGATCTTGGTAGTTCAGGAGAAGCCTCTAGAGGAGATGGCTGCTGTAATCCTTGCTCCATCTGTTGAAGTTGTTTGCCTGCTTAATGTCAATCAGATTTACAATCTGGAGTTCCTTTAGCTCTTGGTTGTGACTTTTGCTCTCAGATGCAGACTTCCACAGTCATCTTTGCCTTTTTATCTCCAGGATGGATTATAGCTATACCCTGCTGTGGCTACCCTGAACATCTGCATAATTCAGCTACTGTAGAATGCAGCAATGCTTTTACTTTTGGGTGCTTCTTGTGAAGAGAACAAACTTCACATGTGCTATCTAGACTATACTAGTTACCAATTCTCTCCATGGTGCTGATCAAGGTACTGATTTGATGTATAAAACCCTGTACAGATTTGGGTTCTGCCTACATTCAATATAGCCTCTCTCTCCATGAGCCATCCACGCAGTTGAGATTACAGTCGTGTTTTGACAACTATAAAAAGAATGTAAGCATTCAAAAGATGTTATAATAAACTATAACAACAAATGTTGATGGAAAAAAGTACAAAAAAGAAACAAAATAACTAAATTGGTCTAAACAAAGAAGCCAAATTAATAAGATTCAAAGACTGTTTTAAAATTATGCTTATAAAAATAAAAGGACATAGAGCTAGAAGTTAATGAGCCAAAATTGGTATGTAAGATATATGAGGTAATTGGTGGACAAAATAATCGGGGGAGGGGGGTGTATTTCACTCCCTTTATGGGTCCTTAAAAAAGGTGTTGTGAAGAAAGTATGAAAGAACAAAAAGGAAGGACAGACAGAGGCTACTGGAGCAAGGTTCACCATCATGGCTGCCACCCCCATTGTTTCCTGGGACCTTGGGCCTTCACCTTCCTGATCCTGAGAGGTGACCAGAAGAGGCCAGAGAGAGAGGGACCTAGATGACATCACTACCCCTACTGGCTCCAGTTGAATCCCAAACACCTCCTGCAATGACAGTTACCATCTTTGAGACTGTCAAATGGGGCAGCAGGGGGGGGGGGGGGGAAGAAAGAGTGGATTTCTTCTAAAACAGTCTCCAGCTAAAGGGAAAAGTGGATGTTGTTAAAATAAAAGCCTTACTTAATACTTTACAGTTCAAAGGCTTTAACTGTTTTTCCTTCTTTTCTGTAACTTTAATAAAAGGTTAAAAGGTGTGGCAAAGTACCTTCTTCTCCTCAGCAGGCTCAGTCCTTTTTAGCAGTGGAGACACAGGCTTGGGCAAGGCAAATCCTTGCAGGTAGCACAGGGTTTGGCTATTCCTTTTCTCAGTCAGCCCCTTGTGCTTGTTTATCTTCCCTTCTGGGGACAGAGTGCAGCTTTCCTTGCAGGAAGGGTTCAGAGCCTTGCTGCTCCTAACTTACTGGCAGCTTCCCTAGTTCTCTCCCCCCCTTCCATGCTGGGGAGGGTTTAAAAAGGTCCCAAGCAGTTGGAGCCAGCTGAACCTAATTAGTTCCCTAGTAACCCCTTGCCCAGCTGAACCTTATTTCCCCATGGTTCTTTCTCTTCAGTGGCTTGGGAGAGGCCTTTTTAACCCCCTGGGACTGATTACTACCCCCTTTGTAGCTGTTTGTCCTGGGTTTGCCACAAAGGTTTAATAGTATGTTTGCCATGGGACTGAGCAGGCTGAAGTCTCCATATGCCAAACCCCAGACCTTGTTTAACACTATTTAATGTTACACAGTAACTGGATTATGTTAACACTTTTGGCCCATTTATTCCATCTAAATTAATACAACAATCCCCACATTTGAATTCGATGGGTTGAAAGGTAGAGCATCCATGCGTGTTAAAATCAATGTAGTTAAACCTGTTCAGATCTCCAGGTGGAGGCACTTAATTTGATTTAAACCTAGTTTACATCATTTAGCTGAAGTTAATGCCTTAAGTATTTAAAGTGAACCAATATAAATCAGGGTTAAATTCAATTGAGAGCATCCATGCAGGAGTTTGCACTGGTTTCACTACAGTGATTTAAAACATGTGCAGAGAAAAGCCATTTAAGCTTCTAAATTCATTGTTTAGAACTGAGAAGCAAAATGGATCAAGTTAGTTTTCAAGGAAAAAGCTGAAAAGAGAAAATGGAAAGGCCTAGTTCTCTCTCTACTGGAGTAGAATTTAGTTTGCAGTATTTTGTTTTTCACGTGCACTGTAGTTACCTCAGAGTCTGCTGTGGGCTGTTGTTTAACTGTTGTTATGCCGAAATCTAAACCAAATACATCTCGAGATTTTTTTAAACCACGTTCTTCTGAGGAGAAGGAAGGAGCTTCTTCTGGGGCAGCTACCCTCTCAGCAACTTCTGGATGGGCCACCTGGTTACAAGATTTAAAAATAACAATGTGTAAAAGTATAGATGGGATGCATGAAAAGCTGGACGAAGACCAGGAGTCCTTCTATGGCTGAGGGTCTGAAATGTCAGGCTCATACATACAAAACTTTTAAAATCAGCCTATTGACAACAATATAGTCCTATTCCAGGCCTATTAGCTTTTTATCAACAAATAATATTTATTCTTCATTTGCTCTCTGCGATGACAGAGCTACCTCATGATTAGAATTTCAAACATTTAATGCCAGATCCACAAAGGTATTTATGCTCCTTTCTGCATCTTTAGGCACAATTTAGGCATCACTGTGACATTCTCAAAACACCGTGCAGTTGCCGCCAAACACCAAGGTATCTATGTGACGTTATGAGTGTAATATAATAGCTCATTGCAAGATGACAGGGCCAGAAAGAGTTAATTAACTCACAGACTGACTTGACCTATGGCCCAACTTTAAAGACTGGTGAGGAAGATATGTAAATGAATAGAGCTTTGAAATGCAAGTCTGCATTGTTAGAGATAGAAGGGGAAATGTTTGCTCAGGTCTTGTGATGTAAGCAAACAAGTCTTGTCTATTACTATAGCTTTGATTCAAAGATCAAAAAAGGAGTATTACCATTTGGAAAGATACTTGAGTGAAATAGTATTATTGTCTATATGTCTCTCTGAAGGTTGTGGTAACCTATATCTGAACTGTTTAATGGATAAATTACCCTGTGCTATTAAGCCTATTGTTTTCTCAGACCAAAAGGCTGCTGGAAATGTATAAGAACCTTAGGACACGATCCTACTTCATCTCAGATCTGCTTTGGGTTTCAAGAGGGGGAAATCTTAAGCCACAAGGATTGAGATCCCCAGTCATTGACTGGAGCCACCCTGAATATGGACATTGGACTATAACCTATGGACTATATCTAAAAGGACTTTTGGCAACTACAAGATCACCTCTGCTATGTATCTGAACCTCAAGAATTGAATTCAAGTCTGTATGTATATTGATCTTTTAACCAACTCTCTCTCTTACCTTTTCTAATAAATTTTAGCTTAGTTAATAAGAATTGGCTATAAGCGTGTATTTTGGGTAAGATCTAAGTTATAATTGGACCTGGGTATGTGGCTGATCCTTTGGGATTGGAAGAACCTTTTCTTTTATATGACGAGATAAGATTTTCAGTAATCATCATCATATCTGACATGTGCGTCTGGACGGAGGCCTGAGGCTGGGTACTTTAAGGGAACTGCGTTGTTTGGACTTCTAAGTAACCAGTGAGGTACTATAGAAGCTGTTTTGTGCTGGCTTTGTAAATCTAAGTATTGGAATATCCACCAGCTTCTGGGGTTTGGCTGCCCCGTTTTGTTTGCAGTTCACCCTGAGTGATCTCAGTTGGCTCCCATGGGCAGCACCATCACAGACTAACAGCTTGTCTACACTACCGCTAAAATCGATGTAACTTCCTTGCTCAGGGGTGTGAAAAAGCCACCCTCCTGAGTGACGTAAGTTACATCAACTTAAAGTGGTGTCCACACCATGCTATGTCAGCAGGAGATGTTCTCTCACCAACATAGCTTCCGCCTCTCGTTGAGGTTGAGTAATTACATTGCCGGGAGAGGGCTCTCCTGCCGACATAGCGCATCTTCATCAGGCACACTATATCGGCACAGCTGCATTGATGCAGCAGCGCTGATGTAGCGCTACCAGTAGTGAAGACATGCCCTAAGTTTCTGCCAGGCAGCACTGACAAAGCTCCAGCTGGAGCCCTAGGGGCCCCAAAGTAGGATTCCCAAACTAGGCAGGGGAGTGTCTATCTCCCCAGTGGAGCCCATTCCCATTGGTGTGCTCTGAACACACTAACGACCTAAGAAAAAGACAACTAGGTGTGAGCAAGTCAAGAATTTTTCTACAGATGTGTTTGTGTGTCTTCCCCGCTGGTTAGGGAGCTCATGCAGGATCTGGGAGACCCAAGTTCAAATCTCTCTTTGCCTCATTTGGAGCAGGAATTTGGAGCAGGTCGCCTACATCAGTGCCTAACCACCATGCTGCTGGATATTCTGAGACAGGTGTCTCTCATTCTCTCCAGTTGGAGCTGCTACACTTTCTGTACATAATTAAATATGCATTGGGACACAGAGAGAAAGACTGTTCCTGGGGCAGGAGCCTTCTTTGTGTTGTTAATACAGTGCCTGGCCCAATGATGTCCTGGTCCATGACCAGGACTCCTCAGGCGCTACAGTAATGCAATAACAACAACACAGCCTAATGAGTAGGGCACTCACAAAGCATGTCAGTGAGCCAGGTTCACCTCCCTACTCTATAAAAGTGGAACAGCATCAATAGGAATGATTGAGAGAAACCTCCCAAGACTACCCAATAGCCTGGTGGTTATGGCACTCACCAGCTATGTGGGTTTAACCCCCTGATGCATACAAGACAGAGCAGGGATTTGAACTTCGGCCTCCCACATCCCATATGCCCTACTAAGCAGGCTATTGGGTAGTCAGGGTACACCTGTGTATGCTCCTTCTCTCTTCTCCTGTCCCTGAAAGGAAGAGCTGGGTTTTGGACTTCAGGACATGGGCTGCCATAGCAGCTGATCTGCTTAGGTGACTAACTTCAGGAGAGGGCTCACAGTGGAGGGATGGCCCAGATCCTCAAAGATATTTAGATGCCTAACTCCCATTGAAATCAATGAGAGGTAAGCACCTAAACACCTCTGAGGAGTTGGCCTAAAGTGCCTACCTCTGACCCATGGGGCCTAAAAACCCTTGAGGCTCTGGGCCTAAGTCCTGCCCTTCTCCTCTGCATTTCACTCCTGGGTAGCTTAGGCTGCTCCCTGCCCGGTATGCTGGCTTCTGAGGCTCCCTACCTTAGGCGCATAACTCTCCCTGTCCGTTGTTTGGGGAGCTTGGGAACCTAACTCGAGACTGATGACTCCACTAGAGCAGCAATTCTCAAACTACGGGACAGGCCTCTAGGGAGGAACAGGCATGTGTCAAGGGAGGTGCGAGCTGTGTGCTTTTTCTGTTGTTGTTGAAGAGCTCTGGCTGTCAGCCCTGGGTGCCTGGGGCTTGTGTAGAAGGGCTGTGAACACCTGGGAGGCAGGGATAAAGGAGCAGCTGGAGCCCTGCTTGGGCTTGGGGTCCCCTTCCCTCATCCCCAATCTCTCACCCGGAGGCAGTGGAACTCCAGCTATCAGCCCCTCAGTGGCAGCAGCAGTGCAGAAGTAAGGCTGGCAATGGGGTGCTATGTCTGCTATTGTCTGCTGATATTGACACTTTTCACATTGCCACCCTTACTTCTGTGCTGCTGCTGGTGCAGTGCTGCCTTCAGAGCTGGGCACCCAGCCAGCAGCCACTGCTCTCTGCTCTGCCTTCAGAGCAGGGTGGCAGTATATGTACGGGGGGGGGGGGGGGGGAGCATGTAAACAACTACAGACACAAAGAAGGGAGGCCCTATCAAATATATTTGAGAACCACTGCACTAGCCAGCCTAGGGGTTAGGTGTTGTAACTCCTAAGTACCTCTGTGGATCGGAGCCTTAGATTTTGTTGCTTTACATCCTCTGCCCATTGTTCTGCATGACCAAACTGAGGGCTTCATTTAAAGTATGCAGCCGTAACCTGGAGAATAAACAGAGTGGGTAGGAAGGTGATATTTGTCAGACATTTTGATTGTTTGGGCCAAATTCTCCCCTGCACCATGATCTGCTTAGTGTTTTTGAGAGTGGGAGCAGGCCACCAAGGAGTTGGTAGTGGTAGTGTCCTGCTTTGAGCAGGGGATTGGACTAGATGACCTCCTGTGGTCTCTTCCAACCCTAATATTCTATGATTCCTGATATACACGGTGGCTTGGAGCAGGTGAAACTGTTCTAACTTTAGTCAAGCTGGCTATGTTTGCAGATGACACTAAACTGGGAGGAGTGGTAGATACACTGGAAGGTAGGGATAGGATACAGAGGGACCTAGACAAATTAGAGGATTGGGACAAAAGAAATCTGATGAGGTTCAACAAGGACAAGTGCAGAGTCCTGCACTTAGGACGGAAGAATCCCATGCACTGGTATAGACTAGGGACCAAGTGGCTAGGCAGCAGTTCTGCAGAAAAGGACCTAGAGGTTACAGTGGACGAGAAGTTGGATATGAGTCAACAGTGTGCCCTTGTTGCCAAGAAGGCTAACGCCATTTTGGGCTGTATAAGTAGGGGCATTGCCAGCAGATTGAGGGACGTGATCATTCTCCTCTATTCGGCATTGGTGAGGCGTCATCTGGAGTACTGTGTCCAGTTTTGGGCCCCACACTACAAGAAGGATTTGGAAAAATTGGAAAGAGTCCAGCGGGGCTGGAGCACATGACTTATGAGGAGAGGCTGAGGGAACTGGGATTGTTTAGTCTGCAGAAGAGAAGAATGAGGGGGGATTTGATAGCTGCTTTCACCTCCCTGAAAGGGGGTTCCAAAGAGGATGGATCTAGACTGTTCTCAGTGGTAGCAGATGACAGAACAAGGAGTAATGGTCTCAAGTTGCAGTGGGGGAGATTTAGGTTGGATATTAGGAAAAACTTTTTCACTAGGAGGGTGGTGAAGCACTGGAATGGGTTACCTAGGGAGGTGGTGGAATCTCCTTCCTTAGAGGTTTTTAAGGTCAGGCTTGAGGAAGCCCTGGCTGGGATGATTTAGTTGGGGATTGGTCCTGCTTTGAGCAGGGGGTTGGACTAGATGACCTCCTGAGGTCCCTTCCAACCCTGATAGTCTATGTTCCCCCAAGAGACCATTCTGTAGTTGAAAACTAGTGAAGAGCAGCAGTCTTCCACCCGATGTGCCCCTAAACCACATCTTATGCCATGGTACATGGCGGGGTAGTTGATGTAGCAGCTGATTATGCCAGCTTTCTGCCAGATGTGCATCACCCTCCCTCACCCCAGGCCAACTCTCAGCTGGCCCCAGCAATGGCCAGATTGCAACTCCTTTGCAGTTCTTGCAAAAGCTCTGAT